TGCTTTATTCGCTTCCTCTTCGCTGCTGCTTCAATTCTATTTACTTGGACACGCGCCAAAAACTGTGCGCCTCAAGGCACACCCACTTCCCACTTCTCCACTTTCCCACTTTCCCATTTCCCCTTTGCACTGCAATAGCAGCTAAAGTCACGCCCCAAAGCCGGCGGCAGTCGTTCAGTTAAAAGCAAACAGCAGAAGGCTAATGCTGTGGCACAGCCCCTCATTTCACATTTTTCTCTTTTTTTGTATTTTGGTCAAATCAACAACGACATGGGCAAAATTGTTGCAGCTTGCTGTGGCAGCTTCTAAGACCTTTGCTCTAGGCAGAACGTTCAAATCCTACTTGCTGCCGAGTATGGCAAGCTTATTAAAAGTAGATAGGCTACATCTACTGGCATACAATGTTTGAAAAGTTCGCGCCAATGTCAATTTCGTAGCAAAACGCTTACGAATGCGACACAAAAAGGAATTTGAGATAATAGCTCCACAGCGTATGCAACTCTACAAATATATATAGTATAGCATATAAAAGAAGAAGACAAAAGAAATGCGATTTTGCAGAGCGCGAGAGCGAGAGAGCATTAATTAAATAAGCTGTTGTACAAAGAGTAGAAGTATAAGGTTTACGAATAAAACAAACACAATGAAACGTTGAAAAGTCTCCTCAAAAGTTATAAAGTTAACAATAGATAGATAATAGATCTCTTTTTACAATTTACAACGCAATGCTCAGCAATTTCGATGTGTATAGTGCTAATAAATGGTATCATTATTTTGACAACAAGAAAATGTGGACACTTAATTTATTAATTGATTCTCAACTTTATGTCAAGCTAGCTCAATTACAAGTATGCCTATATATATGGCATATGTATTTATAAAGACATTGACTGACTGACTGACTGACTGACTGATTGACTGTTTGACTGACTAATTGGTGATCAACGCACAGCCCAAACCGTAGGAAGCTTTTCTGTAGTTACCTTATGTGATAAAAGTGCACGTTAAGACGGGCTTTCGGGAAATTCCACTCGAGAGTATGGAAAAATTGCGAAAAACGTTTGTATGAAAATTGTATATTTTAATTCGATCGGCATCTCACATTTATCAATTTATTTGAGTGGTGTTTCACACTTTTCGGAAAATGCATTCCTCCTTCGTGGAAATGGGTGACAAAAATTTGGTGAGTGGCGTTTCGCCCTCAAATACATTTCCATGGATCTACATATAAAATCACTTGAGACGTGTTTCACATTATTGGCAAAATTAAAACTTTCTTGGCGGAAAGTGCAATTCAAGTTTTAAGTTAATAATAATAACTAAATAAATAAATGTTTCAGCGGTTTGGCGAATTCCAACCGTAAACGTTTGTATGAAAGTTGTTTGTTTACCGTCCGATTAGTGTCAAAATCGTTTTTAAAGCTCTTTGAGAAAATTCCGCTAGTATCGCATTAAGATACTATATCTAATACGCTCTTGGGCAGTGGGAACATAAATTATAGAATTCAATAGACGCGTCAGGTGAGTTGGTGAATATTGCAGCAAAAGCATGTATAAAAGTACATTTATTAATGAGTGCGATATTAATGTGCAACCTAAATGCAAACTAAAGAAAAACCTAGATAAACGTAAAACTCAAATCAAATGCTAATAAAATAAATACAAATTTGAAAGCAGAAATTCTTTAGCAAATTTCCAGCACGAAAGTGTGCGAAATGAATGTTTGGATACTTTTTTTTATATACATTGTGAAGGCGTGTGAAATATTTGTTGGACAATTCACTCTGTTTGGCCTTTAGATATACATATATTTAGCTAGCTTTTTTATTTCTTCTGTTCAGCACACAGTTTAAACAGAATTCGTGGATTGCTCTATTGTATTTAGCAAATTTATTTGCCCTCACTCTGCGTGTATATTTGCGTATATCTAAATTTACTTTTTTTAATAGCTCGTTTTTCTAGCGTTTATTTTCGGGCAACGCTCACCCATTGCCTGGCGAGCCAAATAGGTATAGAGCTATGCTTTATTTTTATATGTTAGCAACAAGTTTAAGCTGCATATTCCAAAAGATTTATTATTTATGTATTTTTACTTATAGATAATTAATTAAAAACTTTAAAAATTTATGCATATAATAAGAGTATTCTAGGTTTTATGATTTTTTTTTTTTAATTATTTTCCCAAAAGTGTCCGAGACCAGAACAAAATAGGCAAAATTATCTATCCACAATAATTATTTGAACAGATCCTTAACTTGGAATATTTACTATATTCCATTTTATTAATTGAATCATTTTTCGCCTCTTACTTTTCGCACTCACTCGCATATTTTTCTGTCTATTTTTGGCTATTTAGTGTACGAATTTTGCTTTTCGTTCAAGCACAATGTGTTTAATATGCTTATAATTGGACATGATTTATGTACTCAAGCTACGTGGAGGGCCCCTTCCGTTCCATAGGCCTCGGGGGTCTTAGAGACCTTCGGTTGCGGTCGGCCGACGTCAAAGTATTCAATGCAAAAGTAGAATAAATTCTGTTATGTTTTCATTTATTGCCTGCGTGTTTGTGTGTGTCTCCCAACGAACCCCAACCCGCCCACAACAAAACAATGCCCTTAGGCCAACAGAGTTTTAGCCATCTGTATTACACACTCATACATTTCATTTATTCCCTGCTTTGGCAAACAACTAAATCAAACACTTCGCAAGACCAGAAAGTCATGTTTTGAAAACAGTCTATATTTTACTAACCAATTTTATTAAATCAATTTCTAAATTGCTAAAATATATTCATGAACCCTAGCTTGATGCCAAGAAAGCAGTGCAAGAGACTCCAACGATCTTCCCTTAGTTAGACAAAATACCTATCCCTAAGCTTTAATGAATGAAAACAGAACAAACTGTAAAACTGTAATTATTAATGTTATACATAATGTTTTTGGCAAAGCTAAAAAATTAGAAAAAAAATAACTATATTTATATATGTGCATGTATATAATCATTTGAAAAAACAGTTGAACGACCTGATCGATTATTTTTATATATTATATGTAATTTATGTAATAATTATAATAACCGAAAAAAATGTAAATATCTTTGAAATAGAGACTCAATTTTAAAGCGAACATTTGTATGGCAAGTACATATTTATATAATTCTAGATATTCCGCAGACTTGCCCGTTTTTTGCTTTACATTTCAGATATTATTTTTGTCACCCATTTTCTGATAGTGGAAACTTGAAATTTATGCGCACCATCTTAAGTTATATTTAATATTGAGAAAAAACATGTATGAATCTGCATTTTTAGCGAAAAGCGTGAAAGACGTTTTGGAAGAATTTGAAGAAAGTTCTTTGAAAATGAGTTTGCTGCCCGAGTGAGTCTTTTCCCGATTTTTCCACAGCTTCGACTAAAACTTGCAAAAACTTCAGTACAAATTTCACCTTTCTAGTTCTTACTAAGATTTAAGATGTTAAATAGCTTGGATCGAAAGGTATATATATGTACATACTTTATGGGTATCCAAATTTTCGCTTTTAATGATTTTTTCCCAATTCGTGACTACTTAAAAAAACCAGCTGCAAAAGTATAAGTATTGGTCATTCCCAGAATTGCTCAATAAACTAAAAGAACAATCATTACTTTAATTATACAGGAATTATATACAATCGTATACATTCGCTTGCCCATTTATTCCAACACATAGGAAATTTTATTGGAATTTTGACTAGTCAAAAAAATGTTCACAACTGACGTCAGAAGAAAGGCCCAACACGTACGAAGTGAAAACAAAGCAGAAGAAAACCCAAACAATGGAAAAATTTATATTTCCCGGCATTTGAATGATCTGTGCTAGCAAATTCCAGAACCCAAAAGAGAGCGGAATAAATCACAGGAGAGAAACAAACGCAAATGCATAAAATTGCCAAAATCTGATCTGGCGAAAAGCTTTAAAAAATCCATTAACAAAGTTTAACAGCCTTGGCAACAAGAAAAAATAACAACAAAAAAATAAACATTTAAAAATATATAAAATTTAGAATAAACAAGAAAGCAGAAAACAGAACCAAGCAGAGGCAAAAGATTTAAATTCTGGAAGCATAAAAAAAAAATGAACTTTGAATAGGCGCAGGCGAAGGCGAAAGGCGGATAGACAGAAAATCAGAAATCAGATTAATAATTGCTGAGAGCAAATAAAACATAATTAAGACAAAGCAAACAGAAAACAACAACAACAACAACAACAGCATACACGCACAGAAGCGCAGAAAAGAAATCTAAAAGTAAACCGAACTATGAGCACCAGCACAACTACCTGTGTAGCAGCAATAACAAAATTGAGAGTAGAAGAGCGCGCGTTTCGGCCGAGTGCTTAGATGGGAGCGGCAGGGAGAAGAAGCGTAGCAGTGGGAGAGCAAAACCGGTATCAAAAACAAACAAAGCAAAAGAAGACAACACCAAATAACACAGGCATGCATGTGCACATATGTGTGCACGCCTGTGTGCGTATAAGATAATGATGAGGCTTCGCATAAAATACAAAGAAAAAAATGAAAACAAAAACAGCCGCAAATATGCAACAATGAGAAGAGAGACAAACGCAATGGCTAAAGAAAATGTGCACGCTGACAGGTTCAAAAGCAAAATAGGAGACGGAGACATAAATGAAATGAAAACTGAATTGGGAGCTGAATTTCCGACGCCAAAGTCGTCGCCATCGCCGTCGCCGTCGGCGCACGTTGCATGCAACAAGCTGCAGCAGCGTATTTTTACACATTAGCGCAAATATTTGAATCATTTTAGTCTCGGCGACGGCCGCATTTCTGGTTATTTAGCAAAAGCAAAGCCAAAATCAAAACAAAAACAAACGCGCGCGCTCTTTTACACCCCCACACACACACATACGCACACAGACAGACACACACACGTGAAGACAGCACGCATCAAACGGTATTTTCATCATTTGTGATTTCTCAACATACTTGTTTGTATTACTCACCTTTCAACTGTAAATGGCGACGACTTTTTAGTAGCTGCGTGCACTTTGCAATTATTTAATTTGTTTTTATGCTGACAAATTTAACTTGATTGCGGAATGGGCTAAGTAACAAAAACATATGAAATCACAAACACATGCTCGCGCACACACACTAATGCACACGCACGCCTACACCAGCGGTAATAGCAACACTTGTGTGCACTTTGTGCTTCTTTTTTTTTGGACTCGAAATGGCGCTTAGATTTCAGATTTCAGTGTATGCGGGCACTGCTGTTGTTGGTGTTAAACAAAAGCAAATTGTTGTTATTGCGAAGCGATCAAAATATAACGCTTTATATTTTCAATATGTATGCTATTTCATACATAGGCTTAACGGTTAATTGCTTTAATAGCTCATTATCATCATAATTTTTTGTTGATTATTTAAAAATTATTTGACACTTTATTATAATTTACGAACACACAACGTAGCGAAACACCAGCGGCGAACGGAGCGGCACAGTGGCGCGACAACACGCACGGACAAGAGAAATATTACTGGCGAAAAACACTGTTAACGTTTCTTATAAGAGTGAACCAATAACAGCGTAGAGATGAACGCGTGTGCCAACATGACACGATGTTGTCGCACACATTAGCAATATTTTAACATAAAATCATTGCAGCAGATTTGAATGTGTATTAATTGTTTTTAATTTATCTGTGTAAGGTAAACTATTGTCTTACCTTAGTTTTGCAATAGTTTATTACCTGAAAACTATATGGATTGCGCAGATTTTCGTGTCGTGCGCTGAAATCAAGCACGCGTGCATCACACAAGCTGCTCTGTTAAAACGTAATCCAATCATTTTAGTTAACAGAACAGTTCCAACTAGAGATGCGCTCTTTCAAAAATTTGAATTCAATGTGTAATTTGGAGCACTCTGTCTCTAGCTTGAGTTAAGTTACATTTTGATTAGCAAAAACATGCAGATCAACTTTATACATATATTTTGTGTTTATATTGCCGGAAATTAATACGCACTTTGCCTAAACAAGTACGTAATACATTCACCTACATCAACTCGCATAAGTTTCAAGCAAACATGCTACTAAAACAAGCAGCAGTGTGGGCGGGACAGTTCAACTGTTAAAATAACATGCAACTAACATGATTGAGCTACAGAACGCAGAGAGCAACAGTTGCGCTCCCAGCCTGTTAATTGAACAGTGAGCACAAACTCAACAATTATCGCCAATTTAGCCGTTTGCAACAAGATACAAAATGTAGCTGCTTTTAATTAACAATAAGAGTTGCAATGTTTTTCTGTTTCTGCCATTATTGATATACAATTTTATAATGGTTGACGTCGAGTATATGAATAAATCTGCATTTTCATCAATAGTTTTTCTTCGCGAGTCGCAAAGGCATGCTCAACCGCCTCCATTGTCAGTGCGATGCACTGACTCCGGGTCAGACCAAAGGTTTCCGTTGCCAAAAAGAACTCGTCCGTGAGGGTCGTATCGAATACGCCGCTGTCATCCGTACACAGCACCTTGGGCGCATCTGCCTCCATCAGCTGCTTGAGATGATGTACTCCAATGTTTGCCACAGTGCCGGATTTGATGTTGCTCGTCAGGCAACACTCAATGGGTATATTCTCCTCCTTCAGGTGCTCATAACCGGATTCGGTGAGATAGGTTCCATGTCCACAGCGCGACATACCAAACTTAATCATCTCTCGAATTTCCAGGGGATTATCAACTTCTGCGCAGTGCAGCGCGAGCTTTAGGTCGTGTTTTTTAGCCTCACTCAGCGCTGGCATAAAATCCTTAAATTTGCCCTGATTCGGATTACCACTGAAATCGATACCAACTATTATATCTGGTTCCGTTGAGGCAAACTCGATAGCCAAAGCGACAATTTCCTCGGCCACTTCGATCGGCTCGCCACGGTTTATGGAAGGCAACAGCTTTACCCTGATCTCGTATAGATCGCGCGCGCTTTTGATAGCATCCAGCACGGTCTGCAGATAGGCACGTCTGGACATGTGTTCATTTGCCTTGGGCGTGGTGCGGAGTTCCACGTATATGACATGGTCCTTGGCAAAATCACGTATGACCAATTCGGTGGCATATTCGAGGCCCTGTTTGGTAGCCGTGAGCTTGTGCACAAATCCAAACTTTTCGAAACACTCGTCCAATTTGGCGCCCTTCTCGAATTTAACAAACTGTTCGCACAATGTCGAAAAGTCCGCCGTCTGCGCGCCATATACCTTCTCAGCTAATTCGCGGATGCTGTCAGTATTCAGGCTGCCATTTAGATGGGCGTGCAGCTCTACTTTGGGCAAACCTCGCAGGAACTTTAGCATTTTGTAAAAATTGTTTTATAGTTTTAATTCGTTTTTAATTGTGGTTTGACTTTTGTTTATCATGTTTTTAATTTATACATATACAGCAGCCCTGGCAGAGTCAGCTGTTATTTAACAGCAACCGTAACTTAGCAGTCTGTTAGTCTGTTATCAACGACCACACATATAATAGCATGTCATCAACATATTTAAATATTATGGTTTTGCAGTATTTAAAGTAAAATAAATACAATAATCGAATTTTATTTTGCATTTTTATTTAACATTGCCCATATACAATTTTTCAGCTGAACGCATTGGGTTATTTCAGTAACAGCTGATAGCTACGCTATCGATAACTACACAATCGATAACTACTCAAATAGTAGAAAGAAGAAAGAATAAACTATACAGAAATATAATTTATTTTGCAAGATCAAAAAATCAAGAATTCGGCGCTTATTGCCATGTCGGAAGCCCATTTGGAAGCACCGCCCTCGGTGCGCCTGACCAACGATGATTTCCGCAAGCTGCTGGCCACGCCGCGTGGCCCGCCACCTGGCTCGACGAGCAGCAGCGCGGGCAGCGGTTACCTGGCCACAGCTCAGTTTGCAACGCCCGCCGCGGTTGGTGAAAAGAAGAAGAGCCAAAGCAGCAGCGAACGAAACGATCTGCGACGCAAGAAGAAAAATTTCTATGCAGCCCTCAAGAAACAGGAGGATGTCAAGCTGCAGGAGCTCTCCGAAAAGTACAGGGACCGAGCACGAGAGCGTCGCGACGGCGCCAATCCGGACTACCAAAACGCCAGCACGCCCGGTCATGGCAGCAGCACAAATGCCTATCGCGCCGTGGCGCCTGATATGAAATCCGGCGTCGATGCGGCGGAGCGCAGGCGTCGCATTATCCAGGAGTCCAAGTTCTTGGGTGGTGACATGAAACACACTCATTTGGTGAAGGGTCTCGATTATGCGCTGCTCCAAAAGGTGCGCTCCGAGCTGCACTCCAAGGAGGCCGAGGAGGAGGAGCTGGCCGCCGCATTGGCGCGCGAAAAGCTGGCCGAAGCGGCGGCCGCTGCCGAACAGCTGGAGGCGGAGCGTCGCGAGGCGGAGGACATAAATGCGATAAATGGGTCCATGGCACGCAATATATATAATCTGATACAGGCACGCCGTTCCAAAGAGGTGCCGCGCAATGAGCTGTTCGCGCCCGGTCGCATGGCCTATGTGATTGACATGGAGGATGAGATGGACATGGACATACCCACAACATTGAAGCGCTCCAAATATGAGGTGCCTGTGGCACGCGAGGACATTGCCACGCTGACCACCAATGATATTGTTATTAATAAACTATCGCAGATCTTGAGCTACCTACGCGCCGGTGGGCGCAACAAGAAGAACAAGAAACGCGACAAGGATAAGCCCCTGTTCTATGATAAGGAAGTGGAGCATGTGCGCAGCCAACCGCATGGCAGCAGCAGCGCTGGCGGCGGCGCCAATCCGAGCACCAGCGGCGGCGGCAGCAAATCCTCGAAAGCTCTAGGCGATAACATCTACGATGATGTGGGCGACTATCAGCCCACGACCACGCGCAATGAGCGTCATCAGCCAAAACCGGCGGCGGCAGCAGCTCAATCGTACTTTGGTGATGCCCCCGCCGAACCGGAGCCACTGATAACAAATATACCGCCGCCCCCAAAGATATCCAAGGCGATGGCTTCGCGTTTCGCCAACGAACCGGAGGGCTATGCCGAATGCTATCCGGGACTGGAGGAGATGAACGATGCCATTGATGATTCGGATGATGAGGTGGACTACACCAAAATGGATTTGGGCAACAAGAAGGGTCCGATCGGTCGCTGGGACTTTGACACGCAGGAGGAGTACTCCGACTATATGAGCACCAAGGAAGCGCTTCCAAAGGCCGCCTTTCAGTACGGCGTCAAGATGCAGGATGGCCGCAAGACGCGCAAAAACAAAACCGAAAAGAACGAGAAGGCCGAACTCGATCGCGAATGGCAAAAGATCCAGGTGCAACTTAGTTTACATAGAATAACCTCTAATCGGAAGCCAACTGAGTTCTCATACATCTCTTTTCCACAGGGTATCATACAGAAACGCAAGCTGCCCAAGGATGGCGGCGGCGGTGGCGGCGGCGGCGGCGATGAACCTGACTACAAATCAGCTAAATATTAATATTCGAAACGGGGAACCTTCAAGGATTCATAAAACTCTGGACAATTCTGGTCACATATGCGGAATTGCGATTGTGGACTTATTGCAAATAATATATTATTTGAATATTTATAAAGTTTTTTTTCAAATGCAATTTTGAACTTATTCTTAAATAAGCTTCATTTCAAATGAGAAACGATTCAGTCGGAGATTCGATAAAAGATTGTCGCATTCATAAAACAAATGATTCAAATTTGAATGAATTAAGTAATGCCATGTTAAAACGAATCATTTCAAGGCTATTATAACTAATTTGTATAGAATTGCAACTGTAATTGTTCGAGGTCAAAAAAATAAAAGCATGTCTTTTAATATATTTTAAACATTAGGCTCTATTATAATTTTATTGTAAAACATTAAATATACGTATGTATGTAGGTGTACATGGATTATTCTTAATTGCTCAGACAAATACATATATATTTATATACTACAGATTTTAGCCACGTTATCACTATGCTTAAACATTTTTATATATATATATATATATATAATTTTGAATTTCTGTCATGCCCAATCAATGTGTGCCTGATCTTTGAGCTTCTACTTGAGGCGGGGGATAGCGCAGGGGGAAGGCTGAGGAAACATGGTATGCCAGTTGGGCAGACTTGTCAAGCGTATGCACCATGTCAATCTAATAAAATCCACTGCAGTTGGTTGTGAGACGAGTTCTAACTAAGCTAAGGTTACTTCCTGCTCTGCAGATATGCCTAGCGCGTGTGCTCTCTTTAAGATTTGGCATACTTCAAATGTGCTTAGATACAAAGTATGTATATACGTATATGACACATCGATTCCGATTTGGAATAGAATAAACAGTTAAACACACACACACACACATGCTCCATGCACGGGAATGCTAATATATATATATATATGTCGGAACAGAGAAATCACTTTCTTTGCAATTAGGCATACTGGCAGTACAGCAAGTCCCGAGTGTCGTTATAGTCACAAAATAATTATATTTTTAGGAGCGAGCACGTCTGTTCTCTATGACTTCCACTTTTAGAATGAATAATTTTCATCGTCCTCGAGCATACTACTCATGCTCTTGTCATTCTATATTCTTCTCTGACTTTTAGTACTGTTAGTGAACATTCAACACTATAGCAAACTGGACGTTATACAACACACTCGGGCCATGCTCGGCAGAGACTATCTTTTTTTGTCTCACACCATGCTTTCAGTAGCAACCCTAATACAAGTAGGACAGTTATGTTAAATAGCAGTACCTTCTGTCAAATTCTCTGATTCTTACTAACACTTAATCGTTAGCATTCAAAATAATACTCACAATAATTTATTGGATACACGACACGGCCTTCCTGACATTTCACACGTCCTCGTGTGTACATTTCGCTTAGATCATGCCATAGTCAAAATTGTTGGGTAAAATTTATTAGTCATTACTTTACTTTAAGAATAGCTTTACAAACAGCAGTATCATCGGTCATTGTAGGTTTTATTTTTTTTATTTTTTTTTTTTTTTTTTTTTTTTTTTTTTTTGTTGTTGTTCTGTCATCACACGTCTATAGGCTCTTGCTGCCCAGCAACGATAATATGGAGCGGATCCATACAGGTCTTTCAACCTCTGACCCCCGCCATAATATCACCCGCTTCAGCACGCCATGATCGAGCACTTGTGCACGGCGTGAGTATTATGGTGCGGTCTTAGCCATCGTGTATGAGCCCAACCGCACTCTCTCTTAGTGCCACAGTGTCTTGAGCAATGTCCTCAACATTGTCACACTCATCATCTCTCAAATCTATCAACTCCTCCGATACATTGTTGCTTGGAAAAGCTCGCAAATACTCATGTGCATACTTAAACGTGCGCTTACTCGTCAATGACTTTAATAAATATCTGTCTCCATCAAGTATTTCGATTATCTCAAAAGGTCCCTTAAACTTGGGATCTAACTTCGTTTGATTTCGTTCTTCCCTCTTGAGTAGGACATGATCACCAAGCTTATATTTTACAATTTTTGCTTTATTTTTATCAAACCTAGCCTTATCATATTTAGCGTTATTCACCATGTTATCTTTCGCTTGTGCTCTTATTAAATCTTTATCAATTGTTTTTTTATCTGATATTGTTATCATTCCTAACGGCCTTGCCTCTTTACCGATTAGCAATTCTAACGGACTATATTTCGTTACACGATTTGTCGTGCAATTTATTGCCAGCTGTATGTCTTTTAAAGCGTCTTGCCAGGATCGCTGACTACTCTCAACCGCTGTGAGCATGCTCTTCAAGGTGCTCATGACACGCTCTACTTGGCCGTTTGCTCGACTGGCGCCCGTCGCAATCAGGTGTAAACCTATCTTCTGCGAAGAACAAAATTCCCCAAACCTTGTGCTAGCAAAACATTTACCCTGATCAGCTATGATGCGTGCCGGCACTCCGAATAGTGCAACAGTTTCTTTGACTGCCTTAATGCAGTTTTCCGTATTAAGGTTCAGCGTATGTTGAAGGTGAACAAATTTTGTGAATGCATCAACTTGAACTATGATGTACTCTTTTAAGTCGTTTTTGCCACTTAATTTTCCGGTTATATCAATATGCACAGTGTGCCAGGGTATGTCATCTTTAGGAATCGGGTGCATTTCTATTTGTAGCTTACCAGATGGTGGTTTTGACACTCTACAGGTAATGCAATTTTCTACAAACTTTTTCACATACTTAGACATCTTCTCGAACCAGTAGTTGGCATACATTTTGTCTAGAGTTTTCTTCCACCCTAAATGCATTATGGCTTCGTGAACATTGTTAATGACTGACCATCTAAAGGCTCTAGGTATTACAGGCAAACATTTTGTGCTGCCATTTCTTTGAATCCTTCGATATAATACTC